GACAGTCCAACTGTCTCCTGATTATCTAGCAAAAAATGTATGGCTAATTTGTGTTGAAAGCAATGCAGAAAATCCTCTATCCCAATATAAAAGTGCCTGCTTTTCTGCAGTGCCAGGATTGGCATAATACTGAAGAATGGACACTGTCTCGCTCCTGTAGGATGATGTAGCTTGTTTAACTCTAGTGCATGGCTGTCAAACTCCCGGCCTATGGGCCGGATGCGTCACACGCCCATGCCCGGTTTAGTGAAGGGAGAAAAAATCCCAATACGACACATGATGCCGCCGTGACAACGTGAGTTTGACACCCTGCTCTAGTGGATTTTGTGAAAAACATGAAAGTTGACAAAGCTGCAGGTCAAATAAATGTTGAAGGAACTGGAGTTGGAATATTTCAGTTCATTCACCGGATTTTATACTTAGCGGTGCATAATAGAAATAAGTCACTAAAGTTATTTAGATGCTTAAGTTCTAAAAGGATGAGTAAGAATTATTGAAGAAATTACATGTAAAACCTTAATTTCTGAATTTTTCCTTAACGTTGGGGAAATTCACAGAAAAGACTCTATTTTTATGTAGGAAGAAGACAAGAGGGGAAACTCTAAGAGAATCATTATTCCAACCTTGGAAAGCAAAAGCAGAAACAAAAAAGGAAACACAATCCCCACTAAGGATTTACAGTATCTTCTGCAATCATCCAACCATTGTGGGGATGACGTAACAATTTGGATGAGTTTTCCATCCCTTCAGCAATGGCTGAGTGATTCTAGGAGGAACCATAAGAACAAAAGGAAATCTTATTGTAGTTCCTTATTAATCTTGGTAGCTTTAATGCTCCTAGTTGGAAGCTCCTTTTACTGTACAGTTTTTGCACATCTTTAATTCCCTGGGGAGAATTTCCTCATCATTAGCTGACCAGCTTGATTAAGGAAAGTTTGTTCTCTTTTGGGAAGGCTTAGAAAAATACTGATTGATGATGTGATGCATCTTTCCTGGTTCAAAGCACTTGAGTTTTGTGGAATGCCAGGAAGGTTGGCATACTTGACTGGCAAACCTAGGCCACCCTGTTAGGGACTTCTCATAAGTGTCTTTAGTGAGGGCAGGCTGAAAACAGACTCTTTAGCAATGTTGGAATCTTATGTGTATGACTTGCTTGGGTCATATTAGGGCTTGTTGGCAGTAATTGAAATTAATTTACTGTTACAACGCAACAAAGGCACGCCACCAAGAAAAAGGTGGTGCCTGTTGGATATTTTTCAACTGAGGAGGAAGAGTCGTGTCTAGGTGTATATAGTGACTGGATTGGGCCAATCCATAGGGTTGGAGCCATTGACTCCACTTGACTGAGATGAATCCAAAGCTGACAGAACATCCTACCTGTACCCACTGAAAGTGTCTCAAACTTTGAAGTTTAGCCACTCAGACGTGAGCAGCAGCATATGACAGGGGTCCCCAATCCCTGGTCAGCTCAGTTCTGGTCCGTAGCCACTTGGGAACTGGGCCACGCAAGTCTGCAAAGCTCCATTTTTGCAAGCGGCAGACACAGGTGCAAATCCATCCAACTACCCTCTTCCCACCCACTGCTGCCATTGCCACTGCTGGCCCACATAGCTGGAAAGATAGGGGACCGCTGGCATATGATATAAAGAGCTGTGCTATGTAGTTTGGTGAAATTTGTCAAGAAGCAGGCCAGTAGACTCTAAAGAGTTATGCACCTCAGCTGTACATTTGGGTGGAAACTTAGTTTGGCTTATTTATTGGCTTCAGTTCCTGGGGGGGGGGGACCCATGAAGAACATATTTTCAAGCTTATTGTAATTACTTTGCTGTGCATTGCTTAGAACTCTGGATTCCACATCATTCTGTCTCATGTCTTTCCCCTTGGATAGTTCGCTTGTTTACTGGAGTCCTGGTCTTGACCTATGCCAGGCCTGTTGACAATGTTTATAGATGCCTTCCTAAGATATTGGACTTCTTTCTTCCAAAAGGCAATTCTGCCTGAGCTCCTACTGTATATCACTGGATTGTGGCAGGGATCCAGCTTTTGCAATCTAGTTGGCTGGCAGCCAGTAGTGGCTACTACTTTCTTTCTGTCACAAAGAAAGCGGCATTTATAGCTTTGCCATCTTCCCCACCATTCTTAACAGCAGTAAATATTTCAGCGCCTATGCCAGCCTGGCATACATTCACTCATGACCGAGACACTTAAAACTGCCCCAATCCTACAAGATTAACAGTTTGACATCACTGTCTACTTGACTGACTAGCTTTAAGCCCCTGTTTGTAATGCTAAGAGGTTATTTATACTACCACTTATATTGACATTGCCAGTAAGATATGTGACTTTCCATTTGCACAAGGTAAAGTTAAGACTTGTGGCTGGCCCCACTAAGGAAGCTGAAAGTTGAGAAAGTGAATGAAGCTCAAAGTAAGAGTAGAGTTACCATGGGAGAAGAACTTGTGAGTTTAATGGAGGGAAAACTCATGGATATCTACTCGTGTAATATCAGAGAACCTATCACACCACTCTGTTTCTTGTGTCAGTATTTTTTATATATGCAGGTGAAGTTGTGATATTACATATGTAATAACCTAGAAACAACAGAAAAGTCATTGCATCTGTGAAGCATTTCAAAAGGCTACAGGGTGCTTCATGATTCATTTCACTGAAGTGGGTTTCTGCATCAGTTCTGCTCTGATAAAATGATTCAATCCAACCTTTGGTACATTGGAAGTCTTGCTTTAAAGCTTTAAACAGAACAGAGCAATGTTTAAATTCTGATATTCCCCTTTAATGTGTTCATGTTTACGTTTTTGCTCATCAAAGCCATCAGAAAAACAAAACAAAGCAAGGAAGACAAAGAATGCTGTTAATAGAATTTTACACCTTTTTCTTTTGTAGTAGTTACAGCAAACAACTGCAGAGAGACAATAAACACTGGAAATAATGTGAACATGTATTATTTAGTGAGAAATTCCTAGTATCAAAGATGAGGAAAGCAGATTTATTTATGTAAAACATTTAAAAAGTTTTCAATAAAAAGATGTTTGTGCATTTGGTAGACTTCTACAACAATCACTATCTTCCATTGCTGCTAGAACAGAGGCCCCCAACCTTTGGGGCACCGGGGACCGGTTTCGTGGAGAAAGTTTTTCTGCGGACCGGAGGGGGTGTGGTTTCATGTGGTACCTGCATCCCATGGATGGGGCTTTGCTTGTTTGTGTGGCCTGATCGCTGGCATGCTGTGGACCGAATATGCAAATGAAAGTTTTCTACCTGTTTGATAAATATTGTGAATTCATATAAAAGCTTGCCTGATACAACTTTACAAATGTAAACATGGATATCAGCCACAGTCCTGTGATGGTTCTCAACCTGTGGATGTGTACCTGAAGTGTAGCTTAGATGCAGTCTAGGTAGATATATGATAAAACATTAAAAGTTTCCTAAAGATGTGCTTAAGGAATTCCAGAGATGAATTGATTGACAAGCATCATTCAAAATGTCTCAGTGGAACTTTTATTTTCATGTTAACACACCAGCTGAGCTTGCACAGTGGATGGGACCAAAAAGTGGTCTGATAATGGGGGCATAAAAGGATCTTGAAACTTAGTAGACTGTCTTATCACAGTAAACACCCCCACTATCATCTTCCTTGGTAGGTTGAGAACTTATTTTTATTTATATTTATTTATAATTAGACTTCTATACTGCCCTTCTCCTGAAGGACTCAGGGCGGTGTACAGCCATATTAAAATACATAGAATTACAAAGTTTAAAACCAATTAAAATCAAATACATAAAATGGTTCAAAAATTTAAAACATTTAAAACATACACACACCCCTTAAAAATTCATATTAGGCCAGTCCGGCTTGCTGGAACAGAAGGGTCTTCAGGGCGCAGCGAAAGGTGCGCAGGTCGGGGCTAAGATGAAGCTCTAGGAGGAGCTCATTCTGTGGGTGCCCCCACAGAGAAGGCTCTCCCCCTGGGTGAAAGTCTCCCCACTGGGTGTCGCCAGTCGACATTGTTTGGCTGACGGCACCCTGAGGAGCCCCTCTCTGTGGGAGCATATTAGCCGGTGGGAGGCTGTTAGTGGCAGAAGGCGGTCTCGTATATACCCCGGTCCTAAGCCATGGCAAAGTGTCTCTGTATCTTCCAACTACAGGTAATCCTCGACTTACAACAATTCATTTAGTGACCATTCAAAGTTACAAGGACACTGAAAAAAGTGACCGATGACCATTTTTCACACTTACAACCGTTGGAGCATCCCCATGGTCACATGATCAAAATTCATCCACTTGGCAACTAGTTCATATTTATGACGGTTGCAGTGTCCCGGGGTCATGTGTTGTCCTTTTGCAACCTTCTGACAAGCAAAGTCAATGGGGAAGCCAGGTTCACTTAACAACCGGGTTATCAGCTTAATAAATGCAATGATTCACTTAACAACCGTGGCGAGAAAAGTCACAAAATGGGCCAAATGCCCTTAACAAATGTCTCACCTAGCAACATCGCTAAGGTTCAATGCTGGGCTCAATGCTGGTCATAACTCGAGGACTACCTGTACTACAGTCCACCTGTAATTTCTCACTCCTGCTGTTACTTGCCTTTCAGTGGACGATCCAATCTTCTTGGATTACATTCCTGGAAAACGAGGCCCGGGTGCCCAAAGGGTAGACTGGCAGGAGAGAAAGGTCACCTCTGTGAAGAGGAGGCCCTCGAGGCTTGGGGCCAGGCAAGGTTGATGTGGATTGGGGTGTGTGGGTGTGGGTGTGTGTGCAAGAGATGATGGGGACGGAAGGAGGTCACTGAGGGTCGGTGCAGGAACAGGTGAGATCTGGCCCTGGAGTGGGGGGGGGAGGGGCAGATGGGCAGGCGAAAGGGACGGCGCCTCCTCCTCCTTCCCAATCCACCGGGCTCTCCGCTACCGGCGGGTCGGGTCCCGCTGCTGGCGGGTTTCTGTCGCTCCACCTGATGGTGCGGGAAGCGTGCGAGATGAACGGGCTGGAGGTTCAGCCGCCACTCAGCGCCCGCGACCTCCTGGATGCGGCGGCCACTTTCTGCGACACCCGGAGCCTCTTCCCGACCTCTCAGGCGCCCAAAGTCCCGCATCACGGCGGCTACGGCCTGGGCGATTCGAGCGGCGGCGGAGGCGGCGGCCCTTATCTGTGGCTCAACGGGGCGCCGAGCCCTTACTTGGCCAACGGTGCGGCCGGCCCCTTCGTGCCCTCGGCTGCTTATGGGACGGGCGCCCGGCAGCTGCTGGCCGCCCAAGCGGCGTCGGGACCCCCCGAGCTCAGCTGGCTGTCCCTGACGGGCCACCAGCAGGACTTCTTCAAGCTGGTGCGGCCGCCCTATTCCTACTCGGCGCTGATCGCCATGGCCATCCAGAGCGCGCCGGCCAAGAGGCTGACTTTGAGCCAGATCTACCAGTACGTGGCCGGCAACTTCCCTTTCTACAAGAAGAGCAAAGCCGGCTGGCAGAACTCCATCCGACACAACCTCTCGCTCAACGACTGCTTCAAGAAGGTGCCGAGGCTCCAGGACGACCCAGGTAGGCAAGGCCGGCGGAACCGCTCGCCCTTGGAGCCCCGACCGCAGGCGCGGTGAACCAGGCGGCGCCTCCTATGGAACTCTCTATGGAGATTCTCAGCCATCCAGGTCATCCGTTGTCCCAAAGGTGCTTTTTTTTTTTTTTTTCAAGAGGGGATTGGACTTTCTGCTTTTTCTTTGAAGGTGTTTCCCTTCTCATCCAAGAAGCTTCTTCAGCTCTGGTGCTCAAAAAAAAAAGCTGAAGAAGTTTCTTGGATGAGAAGCAAAACCTTTTCAAGGAAAAACCAAGTCCAGTTGCCTCTTGAAAAATCACCTTTGGGGGGCTCTGGAACTCCATCCCCAGGTTCTCCTTGTTTTCTCTCTGAGAGGCATGGAAAACATTTGGGTGTTTGATTGATTGTCCTTTCCACCCTTGTCAGAGGGAGCCTAAGAGGGTTGCAGCCTCAGGAGCTTGTTTCTTTGGAAATCAGTCTGGCCATCTACATGTCTACAGAGATTCTCAGTCCTCCAGGTCATGGTTGTCCCAAAGGTGCTTTTTCAAAAGGCAACTCATTGTTTTTCCTTGAAAACGTTTTGCTTCTCATCCAAGAAGCTGTTGTAGCTTCCCAATGCTCTTCAGATGTAGCTCCATATAGAGAACATTGCAATAGTCTGACCATGAGATGACTAGGGCCTGGTTGACTGAGTGCAGGGACTCTTTATCCAGGAAAGACTTTAACTGGCACACAACCTGAAGTTGCAAAGAGACTCTCCTAGCCGCGACTGCCACCTCCTCTTCAAACAGGAGTCATAAATCCAGGAGAACCCCCAACTTTGGAGAAAGGGCCTATATATAAACTTAGTTTTTACAGCAGAATAAAAACAACAGTGCGTGTTCTAAAACACCTTTGAAGCCCTCACCCTGATTTGTGTGCATATGGCAATGTTGCAAATGTAACGGATATCCCAAAACTGATACGATGAATGTATATGCCACCCTAAGCGTTATATTCTAGACATGGGGAATGTAACTTACCTGCTTGCAGTGCAATCTTACACCTGTTTACCTAAGCCTATTTTAATTAAGGGTGATTTCTCTTGAGTTACTGTGGATCACATAGCAGCCAAGAATGTAAATATTGTTTGCTCCATTTCTGCCTTGCTGTTTCTCCAAGCCTCCTCGCAGCAACTGATGGATCTTCCAAGGACATGTTAAGTTTATCTTATGCCACTAATGTGAACTATCCAATCAAAGGGTCATCTCAGCTTATAATGTCACTTGATCCATTGCTATGGTGATAGAAAATCTGTCTCCGTTAGTGATTTGTCACCCCAGCCATGCTGGGTGAGAATATAAATCACAAGTGAGAAAATGGTCCAAGTGTAATGCCATGACTAAATCTCCCATAAATCAGGAAGCCCTGGACTTGAATGTCAGCTCTGCCATGAATTCTTAAGACAATGTTAGGTGATGTCTGCTCCACTTCCTTTGTCTTGTGTCCTCCAATTACTTTAACCTTTTTAGTATCATTTGCTCTGATTATTTAAGCGACTCGGTTTCTAGATAGTTTGCTAAACCCACATGTTCTCCATTGATTCCTAGGTAAAGGGAATTACTGGACCCTAGATCCCAACTGTGAGAAGATGTTTGATAACGGCAACTTCAGAAGGAAGAGGAAAAGACGGTCTGATGCAGCCAGTGGGCCTGGAGCGCATAACAAAATGGAGGATAAAAGTAACAGTTGTCTTGTTCAGCCAAGTCCTGAACCTTGCAGCTTGGGCTCCAGCGAGCTGCAGTGCTCTCTGGGATCTAGGAATGACTGCAAATCTCCCAGCCTTGACTCTAGCCATTGTTTCTCCACATTCGTCTCGACCATGAATGTTATGGCCCATGGCCGGAATGGCTTCCCCAGACAGCTTTCTGGTGGGCCAGTATCCGAATTCACACCCGGGAGGCAGAACGGACCCAATTTGAACTCCTGCTCTCCTTCAAATGGCATCCCGGTTTCAGCATTTGAACTCAGTTCCCAGTCCCACTCCAGGATGAATTACTATGCAGGTGTTGGTGGGCAGTCAAGCTGGCTCAACAGTCCTGTCCTGAGCACCTTTAGTGTGAACAATCTGATTTATAGCAGAGAAGGGACAGAAGTTTAAAATGATGCTGAAAAGCTGATGTTCCACATTAGCCCCATAAGCAACTTTGGGTCAGCATCTAGTCAGGTTGCCTTATGTAGGCAGCCTTCAGCATTTTCAGTTCTGTTTGGTTGAGTCTTGACTCTCAGTGACCATGTAGATTTTTCTCCATGGGGATCTGTTCCTAACATGGTTTTAAAGGTCTTCAAATAGTGCACTCATTACCAATGTAATTGTGTCCTTCCACCTGACTGCTGGTCATCCTAGTCTTCTCTTTCTCTTCCTCAGAGAGTTAGGTCTTCATATAACATGTCCAAAATGGGATCATTTGAACCTGGCCATTTCTGTCTTGACCTCTTTAAATCTGATATGAGATCCACATTTAAATCATTTTTATCTTTAGTAGGTTTATCCTGTACCTTTTGTTTATTTTGCATCATCTCTGTTATTTTTTCTTTCTTCTCCAGTTTTCATCCTGCTGTCTTTCATTTTCACTTGTCCTTTAAAACAAAAGGTAAATTTCTAAATAGCAGCAAATGCTGAAGGGAGTATACTTAGACCTACTTTCGACTAAGGCATAAGTTCAGTTTAGGTCCCCAATATATCATTTTATAAGATGAAGTGTTTTCTGTAGTACAGAAAAGCTTCTTCAAGCATGATCTGGGTGTCATTCAAATGGTGAGATAGCTCTAATCTACCGGATACTATCTATCGAGAAAACAGTTTGATGGCACAGTAGAGTTCCCACAGAATAATCTCCCATCTGAATATATCATCTGCTAATTAGTGGCAAGAGATGCCATTTCTGATTTTCATCACATACCAAATATTTTGTTTTTGCTTTATGGATCACTAACTTTCTGTCTTATAACAGCTGCTTTTCTGGAAATTAAATGTAATTATAAACTTGTGAGAATGGTAAATATGTCTTAACAATCCATTCATTTTCTCTTACACACACATACACACACACACACACACACACACACACACATCATCATCATCATCATCATCATCTTTATCAACAACCGTCTAATCTTAACATATACTTGAAAGTGTATGCTGTTTACTTCAGACTTTTTCAAGGAACTATGCAAAAATCCTATAATTTCACTTAATGTTCCAGCACCCAATTATTTAGTACTTTTCTCAATATTGTGCCTTATCATGGACTAAATTCCTCAGTTGTTTTTTTTAAAAAGCACTAACCAATAACAGAAATATTTTGGAAATTGTATATAACAAATATAGACATCAAGTTTAAGAAAGTAGGTATATTTTGAGAAATATTGGAGACATTTTTTAGATTTTTAAATGTATAAATGTATATTAAATCAATGTTGCTGACCAAAAGTCAACAAAATAAAATGTTGTGTTAATTTAATTTGTCCCAATTTTTGCTACATTTTTTACTATGTTTTGTGGAATATTTTGTTCCAGGGCTTCAATTCAAGTGAAGTCTTACAGTATTTAAAACCCAGAACCTCATTCATGGCCATAATTGGATCTTACAAAAAATATAAAGTTACAATTAAAGTTTGAAACTTAAACTTCAGTTATAACCATTCTTACTCTGGAGGAAAACCTGCATCATGCCAACTTCTAAATAAACATAAAATAGCCATGGCTGTTTTTCCACTGAATAAAGTCAATTGTTATATACCTATGATTACAAATAAATAGGTGCTTTGGGTGCATCTTTAAGACGACAGTTCTGATACTAAGAAATGAAGCCACAAATGGAAATGATCAGAGAATGGGAAAAACCATTCAACAAGTTAATTGTAAATACTTTCTTCTGCCAAGCATTAAGATGCTGCTTAATTTTTCTAACCCAGGTACACCTCCATCAAGCTATTGATAACGAAATGACCTGCAGGCAAATCATTTAAGGGCTTTAATTTTATGCAATTTTTTGGGAGGTTAGTTGTACTAGACTAGAAATAAGTATTCAGAAAGAAAAAAGTGATTGCTTTTGCTCATTTGAAAACCATAAAAAGTATCAGTATTAGCTAAGAGGCTTAAATTGTGCATAAATCATAAATGGAAAAGAAAAGGCATCAGGTCTGTATTTAAATCAGCTTATTTGAAACAAATAGGATTTATTTACATTTCTCTTATTTGCAGGAAATAACAGCAAATAAATATTAGGCATATGGAAGTTAACTGAAGATGAACATCTACTGGGAATTAGCTGGTTATTAATACATACTAGTCAGGGCATAAATTATCTTAAAAGTAAATCTCATTACTTTGCTCCTGAAATACCAGAATCTTACAACCCAAATTCTTGCCTGAATTGCCACAAATTGCCACAAACTGCAAGCACACATCAATATGACTTTCTTTTTGAAAGAAAGCTGTGCCTTTATGGGACTTCAAAGTCAGCACCCCTGTCACTGGTGCGTTAAGTTGCATCTCTCCAATTGCAGTTCTTTGCACCAGAAAGCCTATATTCAGAAGGCACTCCTAATTTAAATGCAGTTAAATGCAGCGGTGGGTTCTCGCAGGTTCGAAGCAGAAGGGATTTTATTTAGAAGTAAATCGTATAGCAAAATTGACTTCGGAATAACTGGCGTGGGTTTCAGGCTTAAGTACCTTGGCTGCCTCCTGCGTTGGAACACTTTTCCTTACTCCAGATGCTTCAATGTTGAAAGCATTCCTAAAGATCCTCTAAAACTGTGATGGCGAACCTATGGCACACGTGCCCAAAGTGGCATGCGAACCCATGTCACCCGGCACGCCCGGCCTTGCCTGTTTGTCTTCTGGGTTTGCATGCACACGTGATGTTCAGCTGTCCTTCACACGTGCGGCAGTGCTGAAAACCAATGTGCGCATGCATGCCGACCAGCTGATTGTTGGGTGCGCATGCACGCCAGAACCCAGAAGTTCAGCTTTTCTGGAGCGCGATACCTTCGCGCATGTGGCAGAGCTGAAAACCAGTCTGTGCATGTGCGCCAGCCAGCTGATCGTCGGGTGCACATTCACACTAGAACCCAGAAGTTCAGCTTTTCTGGAATATGGCCCCAACGAGCACATGTGTGTGAAGTTTCCGCGCAACCTTTTCAGCACTCGGTGTTTGCCATCACTGTTCTAAAAAGTCACAGTAACTCACAGCTGATTCACTGGGGTTTATTTGTCAAAGGATTGTTTGTCCGACCGCTGCTTGGTAACTATTTTGAACACTTCTTTGGAAAGATGGAAAACCATTTTCTCTACCTAACAGGAGAATTTGAGTCTTTGGGAAAAGTTCCACTTTTTTTTTTTATCATCACTTCAGGACAAATTTAGCATTGGCAGATTTCTCAATTGGCACCGTCCTTTTCTTTGGACAAATCCATCAGATCGTCTTTGCTTCCTTCCAGATACCTGCACTTTAATTCGGGTGAAGAATTTGGAATTCAACATGGGAGCGCATTTACATTCCATTTCCAGAATTTAACTGCTTTGTGGGAGTGGAAAAGCAAGGAGACGGTTGCCGTGGAAGTCCCTTGTCTTATGTGGAAAAACTTGGGAAAGCGGCAGTTAAGGAAGAGAAGGGAAATGGGGCCGATTCCTCAGCGACCTGTTCTATGGAAGTCCCCGTTTCCAGGGACTTTGATGGGACTCTCATAGGTCAGAAAAGGGTAAGATGGTTCCTATTAGGTAGGTCCTATGGGTCCCGTCAGATCAGTGGTGAAATCCAAAATTTTTTACTACCAGTTCTGTGAGTGTGGCTTGGTGGGTGTAGTGTGGTGTGGCTTGGTGGGCGTGGCAGAGGAAGGATACTGCAAAATCTCAACTCCCACACCACTCCAGGGGAAAGATATTGCAAAATTTCCATTCCCACCCCACTCTGGGGCAGCCAGACATGGTATTTGCCAGTTCTCCGAACTGCTCAAAATTTCCACTACCTGTTTTTCAGAACCTGCTGGATTTCACCCCTGCATCAGATCCAAACCTATTTATTTCTTGCAGGGATATGCCTTTATAGGGCATTTGTGAGGGTTATGGGCGGTAGGGAAGGGAAAACCATTCTAACACCTCAGACTTCAGTGAAGTTTCAAGATACTTCAAGCAGAGTACTTTTAAACCAAAGAAGCTGTTGTAAAAGCAACTTACCTTCCTGCTGTTGTTCCGAGCATTCACTTTAAAGCAATAAAACAAAATGAAAGTGCAGAAAGTGCTTTTAGAATGGGTGCTTTTTCACTGTTTAATGGGAACTTTAGTTGAGGACCTATTAATGTGAGATTTTTTGCAAAATCTCAAGTATTTTACAAGCCTGGAGATAAATCTCTTTTCCAATACTTTAAAGGTGGAGAAGCAGAGCTTTAAGGCAGAATGTAGCAAAACTAAAAGCAGGTTAACCAAATCAGTTCAGGAAACTCTGAATGGATTCAAAAGCTAATCTTCGTTCTACCAGAATGTAGTATGGAAACTATTCTACTTGTCTAACTATTCTACTCTAATGTCGCAATAGATGTTCAGTGGGAGCCTGGTGAGACATACCTGTCCATTTATCTCCAGATTTCACCCTTCCCCTTTAAAGAAATAACACTTATGTCCTCTAATGTACACCTGGGGGGTCAAAGGGCAAAGGGATTCCTTTTTCGGTTTAGTTATCTTGCCAGTGGAGTTTGGAGTGCTTTATCGTGTTACTGAATAAGAATCTTGCTAACCATGTCTGGAATGCAATCTCCCAGTTAAGAAAAACCTTAAGAAGTTGGAGCTTGAGAAACTGCTTCAGGAGAGGCAGCCACAGAAGAACCGGCTGTGACTGACGCTCTAAATGAAATCATTGACAGATTCTTCTATGGAAGTTACAGAGGAAGACCCAATATGCTTGGGTGTTTTTCCAGAGCAATCCCACAGCTCCTTGGCAAACATCCTGAAAGGAGCTAAAAGGAAATTCTAATCAAGCTTAAGAAAGGAAGCCAGAAATACCTCCTCTCCCTTTTACCAGGATGCAAAATTCAGGTCTGTGAAATGGAATGGGCTTAGGTTCCAGGAGTATTTTCTGAGTGGGCACAGAATAGTTGCTCCTGTTATGGAATTGATAAGGACATATGAGGCACAGTCCTTGTCCTTGGCTACATGATCAGGTCCTCAACTCATTCCCAGACTGAAGCTGATATCAGATAAACTTGTTTTCAAGTAGTAGTTATTGTTCAGTCGCTAAGCTGACTCCAACTCTTTGCGATCTCATAAAGTCAATATCATGTCCTGTGGCTTTAAGGAGTTGGACCAGGGAAGAAGTTGGTTCCCCTTTTCTGACTGAGTTCTTGTGTTCTTCAATGCGTGCACTTATTCTTCTGTTGGTTTGTCTGATGTATGTGGTGGGGCAGGCAGTGCATGGGATTTCATATACTCCTTGATTTTCTAACTCAATTTTGTCTTTGGGGTTTCTTAGGATGGTGGATATTTTTTGGTTTGTGCAGAATGTTGTCTTGATGTTGTGTTTGTGAAGGATCTTGCTGATTCTGTCTGTGATGCCTTTTATGTATGGGAGGAGGGCTTGGCCGTTTTCTTTTTCTCTGTCTTGGGTTTTGGTGGGGGTTTCTTTTTGGATTAGGTTGGTAATCTTACCAACCTAATCCCCCTGCAACTCAGACTAACACGAGCACAACCAAGCCCCCACCTAAACAGAACACAACCCCATCCAATCAGAGCACAGCCAACCCCCCATCCAATCAGAGCACAGTCAAACCCTCAACCAATCAGAACATACCTCCACCCAATCAGAACACTGTCACTGCGTTATTTTATTTGCCAGCTGAACTCATCATTTCTGGACTGTCAGACTCCCCGTAGCTTGCCAACTTCTTATCAGTAAGCTACGTGTTTCCGTATCCACCCACATTCCTTCACTTGCTTCACACACTTTTTCCTTTGTTCTCTTTCCAGCAAGGTCCGGCTAAGATAGCCGGCAAGAATTACTTTCAAAAATGTAGCAATTAACTTTCTTAGTTAGTGAGGTGTTTTATTTTCTTTATAACAAATAAATGAGTTTTATTAGAAACTTTTCCTCGCGTTTCTTTTCAGAATATTGCAACTTGGAATAAGCCACGATCCATCTCCTCTAAACCAGGGTAATTAGTCCCAGAGCCAAACATGGGATTAATAAATGCCCTGACAAACACATCCAAGCTCCCACCCAATCAGTTCACACCCCCACTGGCCGTTAAAAGGAAGAAACAGCTGCGATCACACATTGCTCCTAGAAGCACA